TGGTGTATGATGAGTGGTGTATGATGAGTGGTGTATGATGAGTGGTGGTTGAACAGCTGTTGAATGTCCGTAACACGGAAGTTTTGCACACTAAACTTCCTTTGACAATATTATTGATTAGAATCAAAAGCCGATGCTCAGGGGAACTCCGCTAAAAGTGCTGTGGCAACGATTTCTTCTACTTTGCCGCTGCCGGAATTTGTGGCTACGAGGCTTTTGAGTTTCAATCCCCTAACTTGTGGAATCAGTTTCGAAATCTTGGTTGGAATGCCACACGGAATTGGCTTCATGCATCACCAAATGCACGAGCGGTTGCACTTGGCGCTGTCGTGACCCCAGCTTGGATGTTCCCGGCTCATGCTGAGACCCATGAACATGTCCCTGGCGTTCTTGCAATGCCAGTGAGGCTTTCTTTGACAATTTGGCTTGGGACTGTCCAAGCCGACTGTCCACTCTCTTAAGGCCCTCTGATCCCTTCCTTTGGTCCAGTGGCTGAGCAAATTGTGGCCAGTGTGTGGCAGCAGTGCTATGGCGATAGCGCTGACCCTGAGATTAGCCTCGCCGTTCACTCTGCAGCAGTGGCGCTGGATGCAGACCAAAGAGATGATGATGACGGCTTGAGTTGTACGTGTTTTCCCTTCGAAAGAACTGGCCACAAAAGATGTCAAGGGTCGTCTAGTGAATCCAGATATGCACAACTGGGTTTTCGCGTGGCAATGGCGGCACAATGCCCAGATCCGCTGTCAGAACCTTTGGGCAGCAGTCCCTGAACTCTTTCGTTGACCCGCGTGTTTAAAATTCAGCGTGAAAAAAACCCACAGCCGCTAACGGCGGCTTCCCCTGGTTCATGCTAGGCTTGGTGTTGCTTTGCACCAGAACCTCCATGTGCAGATGTCGTGGTAGGTGCAGCACTTTGTGAACCTCCATGTGCAGATTTCGTGGCAGGCACAGCACTTTGTGCACCTCCATGCGCAGATTTCGTGGCAGGCGCAGCACTTTGTGAACCTCCATGTGCAGATGTCGTGGTAGGCGCAGCACTTTGTGAACCTCCATGTGCACATTTCGTGGCAGGTGCAGCACTTTGTGCACCTCCATGTGCAGATTTCGTGGCAGGTGCAGCATTTGTGAACCTCCATCACCAATAGCATACAATAGTAGCCAGTACATGCAAGATTACCCCTTTGACAAGGCTATTCAGAGCCACAAGGCTATTTGTGTAAAGCTTGTATACTTGTGAGGCTTTGAAGTGAACATGACAAAGATCAAGAAACATTTGAATAGGTTAAAATGCATGTCATGCTGATATATATATATATAGAGAGAGAGGGACATTAAAAAGAGATGGGGGGTGAGATAGAGAGTAAACCTAAAGAGCCACCACAAGATGAGGCCACTGCAGGCCCAATCCAGCTTATACACAAAGCCTTTAGCAGCCTTTACAGGCTTCCTTTTTGCATTTCAATGATATAAACACAAAACAGCCAGTAGTGTCACCCATATATCCTTTCTTCCACTGCAGCTCTTGCCAAAGAAGCAGAGACATTATACCAGCAGTGAAGTTTCATGTATGTTCAATGGTTTTGGTTTGAAGTTTCATGTCCAGCAGCTAGATGACAAACACATGCAAGCCAAAGCAGGAGAATAGCTTTCACAAGGGCTATGTTTTGAAGGGGTTTTATTGAGGCTTCATCTTTTGCATTTTGCTTGAGAAGTTGCCATGGCAGCACCTTCATCTTCAAAGAAAAGGAAAATCAGTGAGCTGAGAAATGCAGTGCCATTTTGTTCACAGAGTGCATTGAGTAGTATTTGCCAGGAAATTGAGAAGCATGGCATGCCACAACAGCACACCAGGCAAGCCATTTGGAAAGAAAACAGTGCTCTTTTGGAAAGTGATGAGATGTCCAGGTATGGGCCCTTGCTCAATTCTGTGGAGCCTCATCTGGAAGAAGGCCCCAAGAGAGGATCATCCATATCTGCCAAGGAAGGTGAAAGAGTGCAGATCTTTTATGTCAACTTCCTTTCTCTATTGGCAGGTGTCTTTTACAAAAACTCTGCATTTGCAGAGTATATGCTCAAGCTGCACAGCCTCACGCCTTCAAGCATCAGAAAACCCTGGCGACTCTGCATATATTGTGATGAAATACATCCAGGGAACATCTTGAATAGTTCTGGCCGCAAGGCCTGGTGCTGCTATGTTAGCTTTCTTGAATTTACAACCATGCTTTGCAAAGAAGACTTGTGGTTCACATTGAGTATAATCAGGACAGTGCAAGCTTCCAAGGTGTCAGCTGGAATGTCTCAGATTTTCAGACTGCTGATGGAGCAACTCTTTTCTTCAGGCACTCCACAGACAGGAGTTCTCTTGTCCAGTGACAAAGGCAGCATGCGATTGTACTTTACATTGTCCATTGTCCATGGTTCTTCAAGATGGTGCTGCACACAAAGCTATTTGGATGTGTCGACAAGATGTAGGGTCCAAGCCCTGCATGCTTTGTGCAAACATTTTTCATCTCAAAGGTATCGGTGGTGATGAAACTGAAGACGAAATCTTGTCTAAGTTTTGCAAGCGCAGCCAGCTCAAGCTCTCTAGCGATGCAGAAATTGTTGATTCTTGGAACAGAATGGCTGACAGATTCAATGTGCTTTCACAGGTGGAGTTCAACCAGTGGCAGCAGGCCACAGGGGTATCTTTCAGTCCACATGGCCTTCTGTCAAGCAGCACTTTGCAGGGTCATGGTTTATTGCTTCCTGCCAGCATGTATTGCCACGACTATATGCACACAATGTGCTCAAATGGCATCATGGTTGATGCAGTGTATCTGGTCTTGGAGGCTCTTTTCAGTGCTGGATACAATGCTTGGAGCTTGTTGGGCCAATGGTTGTCTCTATGGGTTCTTCCAAAAAACCAGCAAAGCTTTGACATTGCCAAGCTCTTTGATGCACAAAAGGTGACCAAGTACAGAAAGGATAAGGGCTTCAAGTGTTCAGCCTCAGAAATGTTGACACTCTACAAGCCTCTTCAGTACTTTTTGGAGGTCATGTACATGAGCAACAATTGCATGGTCAAGGAGTGTAGATCTTTCATTGCATGGTGTCAACTTTTGGACTATCTACAGAGCATACCCTATTTGGACAGCCCTTGCCCCAAGACTTTGTTGGGCCTTGTTGAGAGTGCATTGGAGTGTCACACATTGGCAGGCTTTGCAAACTACACAAAGCCTAAACATCATTGGACCCTTCACTTCTTTGATTGTTTGAAGCGCTGGGGTCAGCTGCCTTCATGCTGGTCCTGTGAGAGGAAACACAAGACAGCAAGGAAATATGGGTCTGTGCATTGTAACTTGAAGACCTATGACAAGGGTCTCTTGGTGGCTTGCACTTGGAGCATCTTCATAACCTTCAAGATGCAGAGTTGTTTGATGACACTTGTCATTTGCTGTGCCCTCGAGATGTTCCCAAATCTTTGCACCAGAAGTTGAAGGCAGAAGGGCTGCAATTTCAGAGTGTGCAGTCAGCAACAAGCTGCAAGTTGTCATCAGGCTCCACTTGTACATGTGGAGATGTGGTATTCTTCACAGATGCTGCAAGCAATGGCTTGAGATGTGGCAAGGCATTGCATTTTCTGTTGGTGCTTGATGTACCATGTGCGCTGCTGAATGAGTTCAAATTTGTGGAGCAGAAGACCAAGACAGCCACTGTGTGGGAAACTTATGACCACAAGCAGCTGCTGCCACTTCAAGATGTCTTGCAGCCAGTGGTGCGCAGCTTTGGACAGAATGGCAGGGTGACCTGCCTTAAACCTGCTCCTCTGCTTCACAAGTGAAAAAGCTGAGTCTTTGCAGTCAACATGGCCATTGCAGGCTTTGACTTTGGCCTCTACAGGCTGATGTTTAGCCTCTATATAGGCTCAAGTGTTTAGCCTCTACAGGCTCAAGTTTTTTACTTTTTTACAAACATGTTTTTGAAAAAAATGTTGCACATAGTGTTTTGGTGAAGTTGCTTATTTAACATTTTGTGAAATTGTTTCTTTAAAAAAATATTGTCCAGACCAAAGAAATATCCACAATGGAAGTATGTTTTTCACCAAATGGAAATGTTTTTTGGTGTTTTTTAATGATACATTTTTGAGAATTACTAACTAATTAATAATAATTATAACTAGTTAGGAACTACTTAGCTAACTATGTTAATGTCCATAACATATAAGCAAACCACCAGAACATCAAAGTACAACTTTAGTACGCGGAGCAATCTGTGGAGCTAGACGCTGAGAACTGGCGACTTTGTAGTACAACTTTAGTATACGGAGCAAT